ATTTACCTTCAATTGCCCACTACAATGAGGCAGTTAGAGGAGCATCATAGTAAAGCCATTAGAGATACGCCATACGTCTCATAGCCAGTTAACTGGTGGCCATGGGTGTTTAACTTACTCATACTTTACTCTCTAACTCTTCGTTTTTATATTCGTGGAACTTTTTTTTCAACGCTGTTTTTTATTTTGTTATTGGCCATTTCCTCTTTGATTTCATCTATTGCCTGGCTTTAAACAGCATTCACTGGTTGCACATAATCACTTCTACTTTTTCGCTTGCAATCGTTGCGAGGAGGAACTTCGAAGTTGACAGGCACTTTTTTCAATGTGCAGCGAATCGAATGTGCTAACCGAGCAGTAAGCTCTACTACTTTTCAGTGTTGATTTTCTTTTATTTTCAGAAAAAAATAAAATAAATAAAAAAGTCCGCGGCAAAAAGTGCACTCCGGAAATATATCCACACTTTCGGTTGTGTTGTTTTTTTTTACTATTAAATGGAATTTTTTAAATCTTTGTTATTGTAAATCAATAATTTAGTATGTGCCCCTTGGGAAAATTCTCAATTAGGTTGGCCACTTGTATATTTTAAATTCCAGAGATTTGTTAGATTAGACCAGCTGAAAGCATTGCAAATGTTTATGCATAATTGTGGAAACCTTCATACATATAGATATTTATTAGTATCTCTGCTATATATGTATAAAGGGTGTTCCATATAGAGTTTTTTTTTGTAAATAAAAAAAAAAAAATTACAAAAATCAATTTTCTTCCGTATATTAATGACTTATTCGAAAGAGCAAACATTCCCATAATTTATGAAACATGATTTGGTTCATGTGGCAGCCTCGGCTGGCTTCGCAGTAGCGCATCCTGTGAACCCAGTTTTTCAATACCTTGGTGACGGTTTCTGGCGATATCTCACAAATGGCTTGCTCGATATTCGCCTTAAAGCCTGAAGCGTTAATGGATTCTTCGTATAACATCAGTCCTTCACGGCATCCCACAAAAAAGTCTAACGACCTCAAATCGCAGCTCCGAGTTGGCCAATTGACATCGCCGAGACAGCTGAGTACACGAGTACTGAACTTGATAAACATTTTTTTTTTTTTGTTAAGAAATACACTTTTTGGGCTACACAAAATTGAGTTTTGAGATAAATTTGCATTATTTTTGACAAAATTTCCAGCGGAAAAGAACAACCACTATCAACTTGAGTTCTGCAGCTCTTTTTATCTTTTCGAACATCATATTAAAGAAATCGCACGACAGAGAGTAAGCCTGCTTGAAAACTCGTTTGGTCTCAAACGCCTCGGAAAGGTCATTCACAATTCTAACTTATGGAGTTTTGGGTGCTATCAACTTATTAATTTCGCAAGGTAATCAAATTCAGACATCGCGGCACAAAGGCATATTTTGCTCGTGCTGTCGAAAGTGGCTTTGGAATAGATGCACACAGATTCAAAACTGGAATTTATTTTTCATAATTTACTGGAGCCTTCATTTTTCAACCAATTTGATTATTATTTTTTAAACGAAAGTTTATAAATAAATTAGCAAGAGGCCAGTTGAGCCCGATTTTTTAATTTGTATATGTTAATTTAAAATTTTTTTGTGCAAAGTTCGGAAAAAGTCGCAATTTAAAAGAAAATCAATTCTTCTGTTCCAGCTTACAGCTTATAAATGTTACATAATAAAAACTAGTCGAAAACAATTATAG